ATATATATATATTTGATAAAATATTTTGAATACTTTTGGAAGGGCCCAATAAAAATTAAAAATACTAAATAAGTGCAAGTTTGATTTAAATGATTACCAAAATGATGATTAAATTTCCATAAAAAATAAAATAAGGAATTACCTATTTATTATTTCAAATCATTTCCTAAGTTCCAGCTCATGTGCTAGCTTCAATAAAAACTATTAGTTGAGTTTTCTAACTCAATTAGTTTTAATATGTGATAGCCCAAATTTTCATTCGTCAAAATATTGTCCTCTTTGGTTTAATTGCCTTGTAGTTTTATCTTATTAGTGCAACTTCCTGATGTGTGACCCATCTTGAGAGTGCTAACACAAGCATATGCTTAACTTTGATGTTTCTGATGAAATTCTAACACTTATTTCTAATAGACCTCATTGTTTAAGAGTTCAAGTTCATTTTGCTTCAGAGGTTATATAATATTTTAAATTGATTTCTATTATTATTTTTTTGAAAAGGTGACTCACTCTCATTGAGCTCAAATGACAATATTACACGATTTAAACACACAACCTCACAGTAAGAAACTACACTCTCTATCACAATCTCACAAGTAGAGGTCAAATTTGTGATATTTGAAATCAGTAGTCACTTCGCTATTGAATTTCATGAAACCAAAATTGCCTAAACGAAAACAAAATTCTGGCCAAATATTTTTTTTTTATTTCAACATATGAATTAAGTGCATATGATACTAAAACGGTTTGAGGTTTTAAAAAAACCTATGAAAATGCTAGCACAGAAGCCCTTATTCTTTTCTCACATAGGTAATTGCTACTGATATTAATTTCAATAATTACTTGTATTTATTATTTCAAAAACCATAATAGAAAGAGCAAAAAAAAAAATTATTTTACTGGAATGCGATTTTTTCTTTGCAGGCCAATATTGCATAGATATGCAAATGAGGATGTTTCTTTGGGTTCGTGGCTACTTGGGTTAGATGTGCAACACATAGATGATCGAACAATGTGTTGTGGAACACCACCAGGTTTATTGTCATAATTATTTTATTCATGAAATCAATTTTTATATTTTAATAAGTGTTCTTAAACAATTAAAATCTCACCAAAAATTTCTAGAAATCCGGGAAAAACATATTAAGAGACTACTAATCATGTTGAATCGGTTGTTCAATATGTTAAGCCTTTTAGCATTAGTGCAAATCCTTCGTGAATTGGAAAAATACTAAACATCTAAAAAATTTTTTTTGAAGCAAACGCATAAAGTTGGGACACGTGTTTGGTTCAATACAAATAATAATAATATTGAATTCAAAAAGTCCTTGGGGCACACCCAAAAAAAAAAAGAGTGTGGTGTTGGGCCCATGAGAGGAATGAGGGAGCATAAAGTGGGGGGAGTGAGACAGAATCAGAGCATAAACAACAAATAGTCCTAATTCTTTTCATATAAATTGAGTAGACTTTCCTGAAAAAATGACTTCCTCTGTATGGATCATAAAATGTGTCTAATAAATTATATGTTTGTCTCTGATTAAATTGGGGCATTATTAATCATTTATGAGTCATTACATCTTTACATATTCGTAACAATCTTTTGGATATTTTGCTCCTAGTAACTGCAATTGGTGTCTATTCGTATTGGTAACTGCTGTTGGTGTCTTTTCATTTTTGCAACTGCTCTGCTTACATAGCTGGTCATCATTCGGTCGACTAATATTCTCTCGGTCAATTGATCGGTATTCGACCGGCTTTCTTGGGGGAACCATAAATGGAAACTTTATTCTTTGTGAAAATTTATGTCGTCAAGTACAGGGTATATTACCGTAATCTGACAGACAACCTTCATTAATTGGAATGGTCCCTATCGAGGTTAGAGCAAATGTTGACCTTTTCTGTAAGTGACATAGAATCAATTGAGGAGCCAATATTACATGTTCAATTTCGATTCCACCTTACAACATTTATTGTTTCAGATTTTATTGTTTCAGATTCCGCCATAGTTTTTTTTTTTCAGTTCACTCGTTAGCCGACCGAATGAAGTGATACTAGATGGTTTGGTGTTTCGGCTGATAACTTGATCCTTCAGTATCCTCCTTGTGTGAATTGTCATATGTCCTCGAGATTCTTGTAGCAAGTTTTTTTATGTACATATTTAGTTCATCGATTATGTTAATTCTTTGAATTCAACAATTGAATTAAAAAAAGGAATTAAATAAAAAATATTTATTTGTTCCGCAATAAGTACTTTCAATAATTTTACTCCATGGATTTTTATGCTAGTAATATCTATAAATAAGGTGTGATCCGTGCTTTCCCTCTTCATTTTAGAAGTTCTAGTCTTTCAGTTGACTTTAGTAGAGGATGAGGATTTTGAGTGGTAAGAAATTTGCTAGTGAAGAAGTGCTGATGAGGGAGTTATAGCTTCCAACTACTAGGATCAGCCCTTCGGGGTGAGAAGAAGAAAATGAGGAACTCCCAACTGCCAAAAAAAAAGCAGAGAGTTGGTCGACTGAAAAGGGGTTGGAGGATGGTGGTCAAAAGGTTGGTGCAAAAAGGTGGACCGAAGATGCTAAGCTAGAGGGCACCAAAATGGTGAAATATGCAGTAACAAAGAAGTAGAGGGCAGATGAAGTTGCAGAATCTTCCGACTCATTACCACTTTTAGAGTTGGGAAGGTGAAAGGTATTGTGAATAACTAATGCTCTTATCTTGGCTCCTAATATGATCTTCCATTATCTGGATTAGTTGCCACCCCAAGAATAGGAACAGATTGAGGTGGTCATACAAATTCTACAATCGAAAGGTTCTCTACATCACCCTTTGACTGGCAAGGCTATCCATTGTGATGTTCCACCTTCTGCTGGGGAGAGTCTTCATACGTTGGAGATGGAGAGACTAATCAATAAATTAAATATTCTTCTTTGTTTGATATAATCATTTATTTTATTGATGCCTTTTTTTATATTGCAGATGAGACCATGCAAATCATAGATTCACTGCCCTCAAAGGCCAGATAACTTTCTGCACCAGAGGCTCCTGTTGGACCTTTCTATTCTTGCCCTTGTAAGAGTGGCATCTCTGAACCCTTTATTGACATTAAGTGGCAGACAGAAGGTCGGTGAGGCTCTCCAAGTCGCTGACCCATCATAAAGAAAAATCTATGGACCTTTTCACCAGAGCAACGAGGCTTTAGAGAGAGAGGCTTCCATATTAGATA